TATATATATATATATATATATATATATATATATACACATATATATACACATATATATGTATATATATAAAACAGACTGACTGAAGTTGTGTAATTTATAGAAGCTTTTTTAAGAGCTATTTTGATTAAAAAAAAAACGGATTCCTGATTACGTTGATGTAACCGGAAGTTGCGTCAGTATAAAAAAAATATTAAAAAATATACTTTTTTGGAATAACATAAAATCTCTTAGCTGCCGAGAGAATTGCGTGATTTTGTTAAAAAAGAGATTTAAATAAAATATATTTATTTTCAGAGTTGCAAAATGAAGCCATCTTTTCTGCAGGCAGCGCAGAGTCTACCTCCATGGCAGCCGGGGTGGTGATGCACATGTCTGCGAGCTGAACAACTTTTACTCCAGGAGAGATAGGGAGGACTAACAGGCAAAATGTCTCGCCATAGAAATGTTCGAGGTTACAATTACGACGAAGGTAGATAGCTTTCACGTGGAGTTGATTCCTGTTTAAACCTAAAAGCCAGGCCTTAAAGTGCCAAGCAGACTAGCTGCTAAGCTAAACACCGTTGTTTACTATCGCGTTGCTAAAGGCTAAGGCTAGTTTATGCAGTGCTAACAATAATGTTGCTGTTTTGTCACTCTGCAACAAACGCAGTCCAGCTTCATTTTACCCTTCTACCAGTTTACAGATATTAATTACAATTAATATATAGGAAGAAAACAGCTGCTATCAGGCTTGGAGCAATAAAAAAACATTGCTAGCAGCTGCTAAGTGTTTATCATATTGTCTGAAGACCTGATATCCCTATTATATCGTATATGTTAGTTTTTAGCTGATAGATCCTCTGTACATATTGGCTGAAATCGGTAGTTGGTCATCACGGTTTACAAGAATAAACAACATAAATCCCAGATTATAGTTTGTTGTGTATTTCTCAGAATTGCTGACAAAGCAAAGTGACAGCTGTCAAGAATGACAACAGCTTTAGCCTATAAACAACTATTTTTCTTTTTGATTAAACAAGTTAAATAGGCACAGGTTTAACCTCATTTTTTGTTTTGTTTTTCTGACTAGATTTCGAGGATGATGACATGTATGGTCAGTCTGTGGAGGATGACTACTGTATTTCCCCTGCAACAGGTTAGTTGTCTATAATCATTAGTATCCATTGTTCCTCAGTTTGGCTGGCTATATTTGTATTGTACGCCAGCTTCTCAGTTTAAGTAACACAGTTGAGTGCAGAAAAAATAGTTGGTACCTTTTTACTATGCTAAAACTTTCCAAAAGATATTTATTTTATGTTTAAGATGGTACTGATCTTGAACACAAACATTAAAGTTCTAAGAAAACCCACAGAGATATACAATAAAATTTATGATGATTAGGGCTGCAACTAATGATTATTAATCTGTTGATTCATTTTTTGATGAATCAATAAAAAATTGGATCCGAAAAGGTTCCTTAAAAAAAGAGTTTTTACAGAATGTCCACAAGAGGACAAGGGTAGAGCATATTAACACACAGAAATGTTTTTTTTTTATGTTGAATACAAAAGTTTTATATTATATATATATATATATATATATATATATATATATATATATATATGTCTTCATCAGACAATATTGTCCCAAAAGTTAGAAAACTTCTATTTAAAAAAAAAAATACTCTCTTAAAATCTGTGTTTTTTTCATTTCTTTCAGCTTGCACACCTAAATTCGGCCAGTCATATATCAACGGTCATCTGTTAATCAAATTTTTTCGTTCATAGCATCTTGATTCATATGTTGCAGCGAATATACGCAACGGTTGAACTAAGAAATAATCATAGACTTTACCATTGAGTTACGTCCCAGTGCTCACGGAGATGGACGTCTGTGTCTTCAGCAGGCGTAGAGCTAATAGAACTGGTAGCGTTTCGAGGCAAGGGCTCAAACATGTACGGCTGTAAGCCTTCTACACCAAACCAAGCTTCTGCCGCCCTGGCGTCCTCGTCCACAACAACTTAGTCCCTGCTTTCCTCCTCTAAATAAAAAAATGTATGATGGAGGAGACTCATCCGCGACCTCAGGCACAAAACTCTCCTCCTCTTGCATATTTCTGCTGTCCATGGCATTTCTTAAAAGTGTTGTTTCTAAGTCAACAATTTAGTGCCACTTGGTCCCAATGTAATTTCCCATTGGGAACCTTCTAGCGCTAAGTTGCTAACTGGTTAGCAAGATGCTTCCTAGACACCAACCACAACCAAACTTTCTTGCGAACCTTCCACCACATTAATCTCGCCCCTTTGATAAACGACCATGTACATTCACTTTATTCACTCCTGTAAAGTCGGGCACCACTCGGGAGAATTCTGAAATGCAACCGTTGGAATGACCATTTCCCTACGACTTTAAACCTGAGAGGCACAAAAATGCTCTAACATTTGTATTAATGTGCATATTACCATGGAGAGCTGAAATAATTAATTGGATTTATTGATTATTGAAACAATCACACTAATTTAGTAACCGAGGTATCACTAACTAGAGCACAAAAACTATAAAAATATAACAATTGTTGAAATAAAACAACACAAATGTACAGTTTGTGTTCAAAACAACATTTATCCAGAACTTCTGAAGTGACTTTTCTGTGCATTACAGTGAATGTTCTTAATATGTTTTGGGCATTTCCAGGGTATTTAAATTGTGCAATAAATGTTTTTTTTTTTTTTTTTTTTTAAGTTGAAACACTGTTTTATTACATGTATCCTAATTTACATAGTGATAAAGATCCATTGGCTAATCAAAAAAAAAATTCTAAAAAATTCTTAAATTACTCCTACCTGTTCCTCCAGATGTTTCTGTACAGTACAGATGTACAGTTGAAATGCGCGTATAAAAAAAACACATAAAAATAAATATTGGTATCTGAAGTTACCAATTCTGAAACCTCAGATTAAGGCAAGGCAAGTTTATTGGTATGGCACTTTTCAACAAAATAGCTGTGGCAAAAAAAAAAAGCGGTAGATAAAATTTGGTTTAAAGACTGAAATAGTCATTGATCAGTGACGGCGAGTACAATGGTATTGTTGAATATGTCCTTTGTCACTTTTAGAAGAATTCTGACATGTATTTTTATTGGTTATTTAATGAAGGCCTTTTACATAAAACATGATGACATTTGTCACAATTGTATAAAGATATTATACAAATTTTCAGGCTGATTTATATTCAGTCACACACTTAATTTGCTTCTGTCTACAGTAACATTAAAATTCAATTGCTTATGTAATGTCGTTTACTGGCAATAGTATAAAGGTAAGTTCATCCCATCACTGAGTGTGCAGAAAATTCCTCCTCCTGGGTTGGAATTTGGTAAGAGTGGAGAAATTATTACACATAATTATTGAAAAATTATTATTGTTCATAACAGCTTTGTGATCAGTGCAATTTAAAAATAAATAAAAATAGATCAGCCTTTAAGCAAATAAACCTCCTCTCTCTAGCAAATCAGTTCATCTACTCACGCCGAGAGCTTCAAGCACCAAGGGAGGAGCCTTTAGAGGAGGAAGAATGTGAAGATGAGGATGTTCCAATGTCCCCTTGTGTTGACCTCAACATTGACCCTCTTGATCAAGGTACTCGTAATTTTCTACTAATCTTTGTATTCAATAGTTTTTTTTCTTCATTGGGCTTCAGTCAGTCTTGTGTCTGTTCCTTTTTAGCAAAGCTGTTCTCCTGTCTGGACCACATGCGGGAAGTACTGGGAGATGCAGTGCCAGACTCCGTCCTAACCCAGGCTGCCATGAAGTATGGATTTGACCCACAGAAGGCACTGGACGCTGTGCTGTGTGAAGACACTAAAACAGCCCCGGATACCAGAAGTGCAGCTGAAGATCTGCCGGCAGTTGGCCGAGTTGTTCAGGAAAGGATGCCTCTTCCACAGAGAAATAAACAAGACGCCGTGCCTGAGAAAGGTACATCGGTACAGGAATAAAATCTGAAAATCTGTTTTTGCTGATCTGTGCTTAAAAATACATTTTCACAAAGACAAAATTAGTAGAAGTTGACGTTTTTAAACTTTTGTTTGGATTGTATGTTTATGATTAGCTCATAATTATCCAGAATGTTCGAGGATAAAACAGGGCATCTTTGTTTATACATATTTAGCATTTTTTGGTGGGTCAGCTTGTCCCTTTACTGATTGCTGCTATTTATAGCCGGAAAGTTAAGATTCACAGGAATATGAAATATTAAAGGATCGACATGATTTATTACCTGTTCAATTCTGTTCACGCAGGTTTATGGGCTGATAAGAAAAAAACTGCAGGAAAAAAATGTTCTTTTAAAAAAGCTACAGAAAATACTTACATTTGTTTCTCCCTACAATCGCATCTCCCAAGAGAGCATGTTTTAACTGGTATGATGGTGCTTATTTATGATGTACTAATTAACCAGTACAGCTCCAGAGGTTAAGAAATTTGTGACACAATTAAAAATCTTTATTCCTTATTTCAGAAAGGGAAACTCACATGTCATAGATGTATAATGAAATAGGTTTATTGCTTGTAACTTTATGGCTTATACAGGTAATGAAAATCTAAATTTCATGGTACTGGTATAAACTTTTTGTTTTTTCTGGGGGGGGGGTGTCAGAATTTGAATAGAACTTAAGATAATTTACAAAAGATATTTAATCTTTGCTTTCTCCAAATTATGTTCATTTCTATGGACCCAACATTAAGGGCTCGTTTTGCATGAATTACAGCATCAATGAAGAGTAACATGCAGTTAATCAGCATGTGGTTCTGCTGAAGTACCATGGGAGCCCAGGGTGGTTTGAAAACAGAAATTTTCCTGATCAATAAAGCACAGTACCTCCATGTTCTTAGGACTGTGGTCATTTGTATCTCTGCTAGTTTGGGCAGGCACCAAAGTCTGACTAGTAAATAAAATCAACATCTCTATAAAGCTTTTTAGCAGAAGGAATTGTGAAGAGCTCTAATAGTTTCTGGTTAATTGTGTAAACTGTGGTGTTAAAAACCCAGTGGACCAGCCCCCAAACAGATAACGCAGATCCCTAAACCATCAGCCATTGTGGAAACATATGGATTTCTGTGCCTCTCCTGCTTCTCTCTGCTTCTCTCTGGAACTCTGGAACGTTTGTTTACAAATAGCATTGATATTTACTTCTGTCTGAGCTATGGTGATGTCTTTGCACTGGTTCACCATTTGTAGCTCAATTGAACGATTTGGTTTTATGTACATAAAGCTTTTAATTCACTGACTTCAACCTCAGTGCTCTCCTTTTGAAAGACCCCCAAATGTTTGAAAGGATTTAGCTACACAATCCTCGTAAGGCTTCAATTATTCCTGTTACTGGTGAACTTTTTCCTATCACACTTTTTCCTTCTAATTAACTTTCATTAAATATGGTCAGATACATAAATCTGGCTTATAAGCAATAGCTCTTTGTGGCTAACCCTCTCTGTGGAGGATGTGGAGGAAATCTGTCAAGTCAGCATTCTTCCTCCATGGTGCGTAGCTTACTGACCCAGATTCAGAGAAAATTTAGAGCCTCAGGAAAATTTTAGTGTTTTGAATTAATTCATTTTGATATAATATTTAACATTTTCTGACTGAACTTTTGGTTTTCATTATCAGTGAGTCATAACCATCAAAACTACTGGGAGTCAATGCTTGAAAACATATAAATATGGGTGTAATTAATATGGATCTAATATTTCAGTTTCATTTTAAGTAATAAGTGAGAAAATCTGGTCATATTCTAATGTTTTTTAAGCTTTACTTGTACTGGAGATAGATTGGATCTCAGAGCATCCAACCGTCAAGCTAAAAGGCCAGTTTCTGACCAACAGTTGATCTCTTGTTTTCTTTATTTTAAACTGCTGCAACATCTAAAAATATTTTTTATTGTATAAAGTGTATTTAGTTGCATTGAAAATAGATTTTTGGTAATTTTTGTTATTAGTTTGTCTTTGGTTTAAGTAATGATCCATTTAAATCATGCAATTGATTAACAAAGTGCCTTCTTCTTGTTTTCCTCTTTCGTATTGATGGTTGGATTCGTCTGACTTCTGCTTCCTGGTCCCTCTTGTTTGACATCTCTACTTGGCTTTTGTAAGGTAAGGAGCCCAAATATTTCACACAGACAACATATCCAAGGCACATACACCTATCCAGCTGAGCACACTCAACATACAGAGCCTTTTACTGCAACATAAACCTGAGACGATAAAGGACAGCTGCAGCAAGCAAAATGTTAGCGCTGAAAACGATCGTCAGGGCATCAGCTGTGGCACCAGTTTGGCTCAACTCATGTCTGAGCATGAGCGGAAGAATAAATCAGTCGATGATACACGGAGAGGGTTGGATGCTTACTCCTCAAACACTTTATTATCATCCATTTCGCCATTGTCAGCTGCAGCTAATCATTTATCACTTGGAACGCTGGCGTCTTTACCGATGACTTCAGCACAACAAACATCAACTCCCTCAATTCTTTCTGCTTCACTCAGTAATCTGTCATTAAAAACTTCTAATAATATTCCGACAAGCTCCACTCTAACTCCTCCCCCTGGCTTTGGAAGCCTTACTTCCGTCCTGAAAACCGGTCAGCTCTCGGTTGCAGATCCTAAAGGAGGCCCGTCATTGGCTGAGTTAATCCAAGAACACTCAAACCGCAGTCCAAATCTAAATACCTCACTACTGACTTCGGGGGGTGGCTTATCCTCCTTAGGCTGTCAGGGGAATTCTACGCCCTCTCTATCTGACCTTGCTTCACAACATCATATAAGGAGGATTCATTCTGAATCTCAAATAAATGGAAGACCTTTGCTCTCACAGTCGTCCCCTTCTCCGCTTGCCGGGACCGTCACATTGTCAGATCTAGCCCAGCGGCATCAAACCAACAGTGCCTACACTTCTTTCCTGCCCGTCAGCACTGCATCTCAAGCAAACACACTCAAACAACCACCTGGCCTCTCTGAGCTGCCTTCTTTGTCGCTTTTAGTATCTGAACATAAAGGTGAAACCTCAACCACCTCAAATGGGTCACGAGGCACCCTCAGCTCCCTTGTGTCACCAGCAAAACCAGTGAGGGCTGATGTGTTGGCAAAAAGCACTAAAGAGGGTGGAACTAAGCTCACACCTGACCACAAACCACCCCAGAAGGTGTTTAGGCCATCTAGGCCGGTTCAGGCTATTGATCTGAGCACGCTTATGGACCAGGCGACCGGAATGAGCCCTCATCAGCTCCATGGCGACCTGCCCTCACCATCGTCTCCAACTCCTCTTGGCTCTGGGCAAGATTTGTCTGTTTTTGCCAAACCTTCAGTCTTTGCGATCACTTTGTCATTTCAAAGCCACAGACAACGTAGGAGGTTGAGAAAGTTACTGAAAGGAAAAACACAAGGGCAGAAGACAAAACGTAGTTATCAGCCCTTCCTTCTTAAACCACAAAACAAATCCAAAGAGCCATTTCCGCCACTTTTTCCTGTTGTACCTTTCCGTTTTGATTCTCCTTCACCCGATGATATTGTTCGAGCAAATCAAAGCAAAGCTTTTACACGATAAACTCACGGAAAGACTTCAGGTGGTGCTACAGCATCCTGTTTTTTAATGCGTATGATTCGTTTTCATTTTCTGTATTAATAAACAGTTTTTTAGTTGGAGAAAAAGAATGAGCTAAAGAAGATGTGGAAGGGTTGCTTCCATTAGCTTTTTTAGAATATCGCCTAATCAGAGCAGCTGGAGTTAAACATTCGGGACCAAGAGGATGAAATACGTCACCTGATCACTGCAAGACAAAGCTGTATCATTGATTTCTATTTTATGGAATTGTATTAACATATGGATGAAGAATGTTAAAAATACTGGCAGCTGAATTCTTTTTTCTCCTCAAACTTTTTGTAGCCACTAATTTTTTAAGACTTTTTAGATATTTTTCAGTATTTTCTTTTGCCAGCTTTTCTTCAACGTTTCAAAAGTTGAATCTTAGCTTCGTGTTCTTTGGATGCCTGATGATTTTTTTTTTTTTTTTTTTTTTTACATTTTTTCTAGGACTGCAATAAGTTTGATCATAGCAAGAGAAACTAAAGCAACTCTTCTGGCATTTTTTTCTAGCCTGCATGAACTCTTGAGCGAGGGGAAATAAGGGTTGGCTTTGTTTGCAGGTGTGCTGCAGCGATTGGAATATGGATCAGTTAACCATTGTGCTGGTTTTACTGCTGCCTGCGTTTCGAGATCATGAGGTTGACTTTTTGGTTTAGGGGCCACCTGGAGATTTTCCCATAAGAGAACTAGAGTGCAGACACACATGCATACAAAAAATATTCAAACAGAAGACTGAATGCTTTTATGTCTTACATAGTACACCGTAAATAATGGATTTCATTTGAAATGCGAGCATTATATGGCGCAAGTGTTTATAAACAAAACAGATTCCTTTAAAAAAAACATGAGTGTAAAGTGCACTGGATGTTTTTCTCATTTATCGCGTAATGGTTTATGTACATTTTGAAATAAAGCTTATGTTTGTATGCTATGCGTTGGAAAGCATTATTAAGTTTTGAACACATTTAAAACAAAGCTTTATTCCTTATGTTTTAGTTAGGAACTGCAAAATGCACTTTTTGCATTAACTACATATAAGTTAATGTTAAAAAGTTGAGACATTTTTCATTTTTCTTGTAGGCTTTTTATTGGTATAAAAAAGTAACATAAAAACAAATTCTTAGCTTAACAAACAGTTCTGCAAGAGTACTAATGAATCATGCTGCTCTAGTGCAATGCTTGGTAAAGATTTTACCATAACATTTAAAATTGTGTGCTGTCTAAACTACAAATTCTGATGTTTTGCTGAGATTTTGTTTCATAAATCAATACAAAGGGGTGATGTAAAAGGAAAAGTACTTTGTTTTTTTCCAAAGTTTTTAAGAAAAAAATGGTAAAGTGTTCCATGCATTTGAACTACTACTAGACTTTGTGATACTAGTAATATTTGCATCGTTATGAGACCATAAAGTTTAGTTGCAATGTCACAGGTCCTGATCACCTTCTACCACCTGTTAGCTGTCTCTCCTGCATTGCTAGGGGGAAACAGAGCTTCTTATGACTAATTCATCCCTGAGGTTTTCTGAAGCCCTGTCAGTGTTATTAATGGCCTGTTGGCTGCTTAGTAGGTTTGCTGTTGTTCCAGATTTCTTATTTTTAGATTGTGGATCTGGGCTGTGGTTCTCTTTGTTTTTTATAATTTTGTTGGTTCACTAATATTCTCTAAACTAGACTAGTAAACTAGACCCGATCAATGCTCCAGGCCCTAGAACTGGCTGGCCAATCACAACGCAGAGATGTGTTTTGAATTTCTGGATGCAAAGCGAGCGGGGTTTTAAGGATGGGACGACAAAGCTGTGCAATGCTGGAGAAAGCACAACAAGGAAGATGGCAAAAACTATTGAACAGTTCTGGTTTGACTCACCTTTGGAATCAGTTTTGGAAGGTTTAGTATTGGGGTTTTCGTATAAACGTGAGCAGGAAGAGGCTCTACGCTCATTCATTTTTAAGAAGGACGTATTCGCCGTTTTACTAACATGCTGTTTATTTAAACTCCCCACCAGCTTTCTGTCTCGCTTGCTACGTCACAGTCAGCTGTGCTCATTGCTGAGAGTGTTGGCCAATAGGCACAGACATGGTTTGAAAAACAACGGGTTGTTCCCATGAACAATGTTCTGATGTCTCATCATCGGGGCCAGACTAAATTACACATTTAATCTGACATTTAGGCCCTGTCCAAACGAAGTCAAAACGAACACGAAACGCTAATATTTTCCAGAACGTTTGTCGTAAAGACGGAGACGTAAAATAAATGTGAGCGTCCACACGAATGCATGAAAACGCTGCAAAATGTATGCCAGGCCTGTAAGTGGCGCTGTGGTGCCAAAGCAAAAATAGGCGACGAAATGTTGGGCATGCGCACTAATATTTATACATGGTTGCCCTGCGGGTCCATTTTCGTGGTTCAGTCAAATTCAGGTGCTGAATTATGTCGTCGATATTGCTCTGTTCTTCCTAGAGATATTCCAGAAGAAGAAGATTCTGTTGTAAGCCCGACAGCAGGGTGAGTAGCATGAGCAGCAACCATTCAACACAGTACGGCGCCATTGTTGTTGTGATACTGTGTCGCGCATGCGTGTTTAGAGGCGACGCTATGACGCATGCGTGTAAGAAAAAAAATGTGGTTAGAGCTTAAAGATGGAAACGCGAAAACGGCATTTCAAAATCTTCCCACTCTGAAGGCTGAATAAAAAAAAAGATCGTTTACAAACCCCCGAAACGCAGGCTTCGTATGGATGAGAGGCTGGTTTGGTGAAAAATTTGTGCGTTTAGGCCAGAGTTTGGCTTCATGTGGATGGGGCCTTAGTCTGGTTTATCAGACTATCTCTAAACATGTCTCAGATTACTTCATTCTAATGGAATAAAATTACAAAAAGAGTAGATACTAAGAATGGGTTTTTGAAGCAGTGAACGTGTGATACATGAATAAAAACACCCAAAACCTTTTTTGTAAAACAGAAAAGTTGTAATTTAATTCCACTCTACAATAATTTACTTCTCTGTGTTCATCTATCAAATAAAGCCTTAAATAAATACATTGACTTTTCTCTTTATAATTGGTTCTAAATGTGCCAATCACTGATTCCCTGTCTTAATAGATCCTGACATTCTGATTCCAATTTTGACCCACAGGGATTCATTTTTATAACCGACACTGTCAGTTGTTATAGGATCACAAGAAAGAAGATATTTCAATCTTATCTTGCTTAAAAAGCATTATTAATTGCCTGCAAAACAATATATTCTGAAATAACTGCTCTCAAATATATGTTAAAGGCATTAACAGTGGGTGTTTTTTTTTTAGAGCTTGTAGAACAGATTGGTGGAAAAGATTGGTTTCACATCTAAGTATCAGCCTATCAAGATCTTCCTCAGTTAAGAAAATCGATTGGCCGGCTGACCAATCGGTAAACCCCTAGTTCTAAATACTTATAAAAGGCACTGTAAAAAAGCTGCATCTGTAGGATTGTGTTTTTACACCTTAAAATATGCAGCTATATTGGTTTGGCTGTCAAGATCTCATTGGTGTTCATTAGATAAAGACTTGTTTCACTTTTGTGTTTTAACTGGAGATCTGTATTTGGGTATAAAAAAACTGGTTTAATTTAGTTTGTGTAGACTTTATATAGAGTGGGAAGTTATCTAAGTGTTATCAGCCTTCAGGGTGTCAGACTGAGACTCTGACAAAAAATAAACACTACAGCGTAGATGAAGGTAAAAATTACTTGTCTAACAGGTTTTTTTCAAAGTGTAAACAGGAGGGGAGTGGAGGGGGGGCTGGTGTTGGAAAGAAAGTCATTTAAATGGTGGTTAAGGTCTCTTTATTAGTAATGATTTGTGTGTTTTTTTATTGTTTTATAACTAAAAAAGTGAGACCTTGATTAATAAGTGGGTGTGTCCAGCAACTGTTCTGTCCCTTTGTCTGAAGGCAGGTCTGTGTGTGGGTTTGAGCAGGAAGCTGCAGTCTTGGAGAAAATGTCAGCCCAGGCGCACATCAGCTCAACCCAGCAGCCGATCATCTTACTTTGTGTCTGTCTTTGTGTGTGTGTGTGTGTGTCTTTTACACCACCTACGTAGGAAAATCTGATCACGTCTCTCGACTTTCACAGCTTTGACAAAGGCTATGGTAGATGAAATCATTTTTCGTCTTTACAGGCTCTGCATTTCTGCAAGGCGTATATACATGTTGCACAAACACTGTTGTTTGTGAAGTGGTGCCAACACTGGAAAATACCTTTTTTTTTTTCAAACTCTCTCCAAGTGGTCAAAGATCGCAGGTGCATTTAGTCTTACATGTCAGCATCAGTGCTGCTTTGTTGTGGTGTATGATGCAGAGAGGATAAATTGACTAAGAGGGAAACATGGGCTTTGACCTATATGGAAAAACAGGCATTCAAGTGTTGGTTGAATACCAATTGTCTTTTTACGGGTTAAATTGTCAGAAGTAGTTCTATGCTCATTGAGCTTCATTGGACAAACTATCAGTTGGACTTTTTTCTCTGCACCTCATGCTTCTGTTAGTTTTAGATTAGATATGTTGCTAATCTTTCGTATTAATGAGCTGCAGTGGTGCAGAGGTATTTGGCTTTCCAGCTGAATTAATAATGTCACTGTGTAAATCAAAGATTAACATGACTATACATCTTCTTTTGGCATTTGACCAATTAGATGAGCCCTTGAATGATATGTTACCTACTTTAAATTAAGTAAAAAAAAAGATAAGTAAAAAAAAAAGGTAAAAAGCTATGGGAAAATAAAAAAGTAAAGTTAATAAGCCTCATTAACAATTATATATAGGTTTACAAACAAAAAAATAAGTGCCTGTATCAGCATTAATGCCTTTAAGGTTATGTTGTACCAAACAAAATGTGCTTATTTTACTCTGAGTGTTTTCATGAATTTCTTACAGAAGCACTTTTGTTATTTTCCTTGTTATTTCATTGATATTCATTTTTGCCATCAAAATATCCATATTTTTCGAATGTTACAAAGGTAATAAGGTCTTGTCCTGGATACCGATAACACTATTTGCTTGAGATTTTCAAAGTATTTCACTGAATGCACTATAAAGAGTTAAATACCAGAATCTGAGAGCTGTGAAATAAGCAGTTTATAGCAACAAATCACTGCATTTGAAAATAAGCAGAGTGATGCAAAGAATATGAAAATTGTGACGATTATGGCATGTTATATTGGTCCAGATACTTTGATGCAGTTCACCCAACTAATTTATGCAAAATAAAAATCGTAAGTACATGTTCGGCAATTATCTTTATTTTTTCAGTTTTAAACCAAGTTGAATCGGCATATCTTTAGAATGATGATCCACTTTGTCCTTTCAGTCAATTTGAAGGTGTTTCAGGAAGTAATTCTTAAAACAGATACAATGTTTATCTTTATTGCTCCTAATAGGTGGCATTTTTGGATGATTGAGTTTGGCTGTTATATATAACAATAAACAACTAAATGATCTATGGTAACAGACTTTCAAGTTTTAGTTTTTTAGAATTGCTTTTGTGAAAAGAAGCAAAGCAATGGATTTATTATCCTTAACACCTACAGTGCAGTTTATTTTTGAAACTAATTGGTTTTTAAAGTGTAAAACAGCATACAGGCATTGTTTTACTGGTAGGACAAATGACTCTAAATAAATGAACATTAAGTAAAACCTGAGCATTAAACACCAGACATTACTTACTGGGACTTAATGTGATATCTTCATGGTTTCATAACTTTATGAAACTTCTTATTTTCATAAAGAAACTACTTATGATTATTGAAATATGACAGCCTTGTTTTCCTTAAGTATGTTTCTCCTGTACTTTCCTTGGTAAT